CAAATATCGTAGCGACTGAAACATGAGGCGGCCTGGTGCAGCATATTCAATTGCCTGAGAACATCATAAACGAGAGATTCAGCTGGGTTCCAAGTGAGTCTGTCGAAAGAACCAAATTAGGTTGCAAATGAGTGTATATTCGCTAAAGTTTGGGCCTCTTTTTCAGAAACCGCCGAGTCCTTTTTGGCAGCCTACGGTTCATCAGAGCGCGTGCTGGTTTTTTGGGGGCGAAGGTCATCCTCGTGAACTTTATGGACAATGATCCTATATAATTCTTCCGCTGAAGCTGGTCCCAGTGTGACTTGTTCAAGTTAGATGCGCATTCTTGAGAAGTCTGCAAGGCGGAAGCCTCGAAACCACGTTTTAGGTTCAAGATTTCTGGCCCAAAAGCAAATTAAGTCAAAGGTCAGCACAGAGTGAATGCTATGTCCCAGCGGAACGTTAATTATTACCTGATCAACAAAGCGTCAATCTTTGGTGGTGACCAAATCCAGGAGGGATGGTATTTGGCCTGCTCGGTATCTGGTGTGTGCAACGACGTATTGTTTCCAAGCTCCCTATGGAAAGACTGCACTCAATGTCGATGCAAAAAGTCCAATTGATCCGACGCGCTGGAGCTTCATCCGGAAGACATTTGCAGCCTTGAAGTCACCTATCAGCAGAAGATGAGTGAAGTGAAATTTGCAGGAGAGTTGCACAAGGGCTCCTGTGAGGTGTTGGTCATCTTCAGGGGAACTCGAAGAACTTAAGTAGACCACACCGAGAGGGAGGGAATCGGTCCTGCGAGCGGGATTTGGACCCACACTGCATTGCAAATGGGTGCGCGGGTGGTGTCAGACAGGACAGTCGGGATTGGTAGGGCTGCAATTAAATATAGAGCAATCCCACCTGCCCACCCTCGATTTGAGTATTCAACATATAGCTACGGCTAGAGGGGCTTCCAAACCTCCAGCACAAACAACCTGTTTAACGCCGCCCACTACTTTAGGCTACCTCGAGACCTTTTTTCATGTTCGTCATATGGTTCTGGGCCTCGCCCAATCCATCTTCCATGCCCAAGTATTGCCTGCCATCTTCAGTTTCACACTCACGTCTACGCTTAGAAAATGCATGGGCTACTGAGATAACCACATCCGAGGCGATCTAACTGTGTCTGATGGTGTTGATCTAAGTGGGGAATTGCAATCCTAATAATAGGTTAATTTCCCAACTTGTGGAGATCCTACCGATCGGGGCACACTCTCCCTCACCGCCACGGGAATAAACATCCTTCAACCCACATCCAAGTAACATATGTTTCCATAATTCTAATAATCTCGTCTATGTCCTCTGAGTGATCGATGTAACTTAAATTGTAATGTGTCCTTGACAAACCCTAGCTACTTCGACAATCCCAACTGACGCACCCAGGTCGCTCCTGTACGAAGCTATCTGCAAACTAGAGAATGAATTAGCGTGACGTTACCGCGACAGCCATAACCGGTCCGATGTACTGCCCGTTTTTCACAAGATCTCTATTAGTTCCCTTACGGGCGAGTTTCATGCGTGCAAGAGACCATCTCAATTCTCTTGAGTCATACCAGAAATCCAAAGTGCCGACCATTCCACTGTACCGTCTGACTTTTCTGCCCACAAGCCCGACAATTCATCCGGTGGAATTAGCAAGGAATCAGTACACCAGTGAAGGCAACACCTTGCAGTTCAACCAATACATCGCGTGCTTCACACCATGAAAATGCCGTCGACACTGTTTCCTTGGCTTTGTTTTGCGGGACAAGTGATACGAAACGTTCTTGTTCATAGGTCACTAATAGCCTTCAATTCGAGTGTGCGCGAACAAGAACGACAATATCAGTGCGTGCTCTATAAAATATCCTCAAATCCAATACGGCGGAAGCAAGTGAAAAATAACCAGTTTCTCTAAATGTGAATTCTGTAATCAAAGAAATCCTTGAGCGCGTTAAAAATTTTTGCATAACTGCTACTGTTTAGGAAAATTTTGCGGATTCTACTAACTTTCTTCAGGTGCTCATCTCGATGTAAAATTTCCTTCGTTCAAACCATGGTTACAAGGAAAGTTGAGGTGTGCGTCTGAGTGGACGGCCCTTGATCGCCCCCTTCTGAATGGCGTTGACTGCGAGATACTACTACAGAGCTAGGAGGCCAACACGTGTTACTCTCTAAATTCAGTAGTGGGAGTTTTAGTTCAGGCTGATCAGCAACCGATTTACTGGCTCGTGCCACATGCACGCAGATGTTATACTCCCTCACGTGTTCTTTCTCACCCAACCCAAAAAACTGCCCATGTATGGTACGTGTGCTACCAAAACGAAGGCTGCAGTCAGAGTTCGGCAGCATTGTTAAAGGGTGCAAGACCTACAGCGCCATCCACGTCTAGGGGCCAGATGAGGCTGAATTACAGCGGTGATGGGGATTAATGGGTCTGGCCAAATAATGGTCATCGATGGTGTGTTGCTGCGGGCCTGTTCACAAGAATAGAGTGAAATCTGGCTCTAGCAGCGGCAGCGACAACAGCACTTAATCAGTTTGTACGCGTAGCATAGTGTTTTCTCCCTGTGTTGTTTCTCGTGGAGCCTAATAGCCACTTATGAGTTTCAGCAGCTGATGCATGCTGGATTTACTAAGCTCGGATCGAGTTCGAAATTGTATGGATGTGATTTGCGTTTTCGGTTTCGTAGAATTAAGCCGAAGTATTTGGCCCATTTGGGCACATTTGTAGTGGAAAAGGTAATAAAACGCACATGAGTGTCGGTTTTTTTCAGATTTGAGGCATTCTCGCCTTTTAAGGATGAGGAGATGAAATGGACTTTACCAATGGCGCTTACACATCCGTTTAGTTTCCGCCTCCTGTACGGTGCTGGAGACAACATAGAGTAGTCTGCTTTGCGGAAGCTTTATATTATTAGGGCAGTGCGGTTTTCTAGGATGGTCAATCACGTAGCTTCCTTTGGTTGGAGGCGGGATCTAGCAGTGACAGACGATGTTTATTCGCTAAATGGGTGTGGCTGTTAGCGTTTTCAGCTCACGTGTTGGATGTGGGTCCATCATATTTGTTGTGTCTTGATGTACGGTAGTGCAACTCTGTATCGGTCCCTTGGCTTCCCGCTCCGCCCACTATGGTATATCATAACGCACGGTAGCTCTACACAGCCCTTTATGGAGACGAAGGAAAATCATTACAACTGTATATATATAGGGTAGTCACAGTGTTCCACAAGGTCGTGCCAGAATGTCCGTGAGGGGGCGAGAACCGTCGAGTCAAGGTGCTTGACTCGGATTGGCTGGCATTCTGACCAATCAGGGCATGCCTACGACTGGCCCGTGTCCTGCACGTGACGCATGCGCACAAATGGTGTGATGTTCGGTTATTAGGAACGGCTGGCCCCCGAACACCTCCCCCTTCAGAGAGCTGTCCAGCCGACTGCTGCTTTGAACTCCACTGTGACGACTCATGTAGGTTCTGTCGCACGTCGGTCCGTCCCTGGGGCTGCCAGCATGCTGATCTGGAATCCGGTACCCTCCACTTGGGAGGTATGTCACGGCTGTCCGGTTTCCAATGCGACGTGGTCCCCTCACCAGACCGCAGTCTGTTGCCTGAAGTTGGTTCACTTGACGCGGATGTGCTGATGTTCTTACGTGTGCCTCGTGTTTGACATCGTCGACCCTGCGTCCACCGTGGAGAGCATTCCTCATATATTTGAATCGGTGGCTGGTCTCTGTGTGACTGTTGTGGCGTCCCTTCTGCCGGCCCCACTTCCTTGACTTTCCGGATAGCAGTAGGACGATCCGCCTGAACCTGCGACTGTAAACTGAACGGTTCAGATCGCGGGTGAAACGTTGCGGGCTGCTGGGAGGGTTCACCAAATTGCACTGAGGTGAGAGGGCTACCGCTGCCGGACGCCAGAAGCTGAATAGTCGCTGTGTCGCGTATGCTCCATCTGGTCTCCGGTTTGGCTGCAACTGTAGCGACCACAAAATCGTCAGGACGTGATGTTCTCGTGAACGTATCGGGGCCGTTTGCAGTTGTTTCGTCACAAACGGCATTGAGGGGTTCATCCAACAGTTGAAGCTCATTAATCCAATCCAGGCCCAAGAGATCAAGGCCTGTGTAGTTCGTGAGGTAACAAGTGCCACTGAGATGAATTCCCTTGAACGTTACGGAACAGTTCAGCTTCCCGGTCAGTTTGAGGCTTCCACCAGATGCATTACGAACGATGCACTTTGTGGGTTCCACTGGTGGCCTTCCAATTTCGTTCCAGGTTCGTTTTGAAATCAGAGTGAGGTCAGAACCTGTATCCAGTTGGAGAGTAACTGGTGTGCCATTGATACATAATGTGACAAATTTACGTCGACCAGGTGATTTCATCCTGAATGTGGCGGTCACAGCCTCTGCCTGCGTCCTTTTGTCGGGTCGGTGTTTGCGCGAGCTCCTGAAGTTGTCTCTGCAGCATTCTTCTTTGTGACCCTTTCGACTGCACTTACTGCACCTGTGGTTCCGGTAGGGACAGTGGCGTGAATAGTGCCATTCTTCACAAAACCAACAGGGTGTGGGCGGTTTTCTTGGAGTTCGTTTTGAACTTGACTTCCTTTTGGAAGTTACTTTGCATACCATATCCGGCTGAGATAATTTGGAATGTCCAATCATGGCAGCATCAGCCTTGAGATTGATAAGATGCTGGCATTCGGTGGTAAGTTTCTGAAGCGTCAACTCTGGATCCTGTTCAATTCGATTCAGTAGCCGGGTCCGAATATCTGCATCGTGTGGTGATTGAAGACCAGCCACAAAGATGAGACACTTGAATTGATCCTCGGTCATGGAGCTGAGCTGAAAGCGCTCGCATTCTCTGTTGACCACACCGGCATATGTGATGAAATCCTCAGTATCCCTTTTGGTAATCTTGAGACACTGATAACGAATATTGAACAAGGAACTTTGCTCACCGAATATTTGGGCCAGAATTTTGACAGCATCTGCGAAACCAAGGTCACGAGGGAGTTTGGGGAGTATGAAATTTGTGAACCGATCGTGTTCAGCTGTCCCCAGTTTCCGCAGCAACAGTTGAACTTTCCATGCATCATCAAACTGAGCGAAGTCGGTTTGAAACATGTCTTCATATTTCTTGAACCAACTTTCGAAAGTTCGTCCAGATTCAGCATCCAAATTGAATTCAGTAATTGAGCTGGCAGCAGCATCTGCGGAAGGAGACGGAGGCTCACACTTTTTTTATCTCATTCAACGACATACTGCGCATCAGAGATTCAACAAGCCTCAGTTGTGCTTCTTCGAACTGCCTGGGTTGTTGCTGTAAAATTAATTGGAGTTGCCCTGCCGAAATTGACATCGTGGGTTCGGGTTGTCGCCAGTTGTTGCGTCTTGAAGTGCGGTAGTGCAACTCTGTATCGGTCCCTTGGCTTCCCGCTCCGCCCACTATGGTATAACAAAACGCACGGTAGCTCTGCACAGCCCTTTATGGAGACGAAGGAAAATCATTACAACTGTATATATATAGGGTAGTCACAGTGTTCCACAAGGTCGTGCCAGAATGTCCGTGAGGGGGCGAGAACCGTCGAGTCAAGGTGCTTGACTCGGATTGGCTGGCATTCTGACCAATCAGGGCATGCCTACGACTGGCCCGTGTCCTGCACGTGACGCATGCGCCCAAATGATGTGATGTTCGGTTATTAGGGACGGCTGGCCCCTGAACAATATTTGTAAAACCTAGGCCAGTTTAGGGGGGCGACAAGTTCCAATTTACTAGGTGGTGTTTTGGCTTCTCCATGGGTAGAACAATGGGGTTAGGTAATGAATTTTAGTGAATGTCGTTGGAAACAATAGTCATTTTCGTTAGTGAAATTTAAGAGACAATATACCGATGCTTAAGAAATCGGTAATCCGGGTCATTCTAGTCTGGGCTACATTACGTCAAGTAATATGAGTTGGAAAGGAATTGAGCACTTCGTTCTTGTCGTGGTGTGCCCCAAGCTAAGATGCGTACACTCATCACGGTTAGTGATTCATGGCAATTGCCCCACCGATTCGCCTTTTTCCCAGACGCTTTTGTCCTCATATGCTCATACCTACCCGACACTTGCCTTGGTTCAAAAACCGCCCCGTGCATGTGTACGTGTGCCACTAGCCTACGAAACCTCAAAGTTCGGTCCTCTCAGATGGGTTCGATTTGACTTCCTCTGTCGTGGCTTCCCTGAGACTGCTCCGCCAGTCAGAGTCACGGGACCGGCTTTGGAAGGAAAAACGAAACCCAAGCTGCAGTGCTAAAATCCCCCTGGCATTGTCTGGTTTGTGGACCCTAGCTCTGCTCTGTGTCAGCCAGTGACAGATTTGCACCTATTTTGATGCCAAAAACATAGACACCTGAAGTTTGTTGTGTAATTTTACCAACATTGGTGTAAATAATTCCAAATTCTTTCTTCTGGAATTCAGGATCGTCAGACTTCCGTGTGTCCCAAGTTCCTGTATTTGAAACCCAAGTATGTGTAGTGGACCTGAAACGGTAAACCACGTGACCCAAAATAAGTCCTGAATTGCTCAAACTTAGGATACGCTAGATTTTGGCAACTAATGTCTGATTAAGTAACGATGGTGACCCCAAGTCGTGTAGCTCAGAGGGCATGGCACATGCTGGTGCGATTGGTGGGATAAATGTTCCCCAACACCCGCTCGGTATTCCCTCTAAGTAGTCCCGGCTGAGAGATCGGAATTTCGGTTCTTGTTATTTGCAAGCATCCACGAAACATTGCGGATGAAGACCACCTCGGACCACACCGTGCATAAAGTGATAGCAATTCTTCTTTAATGTTACAGATACTCTGCAATGCCCATGGCCTACATCAGTGAGAATAGTTGCATCTGCTTTCGTCAAAACAGAGGCTACACCGCACCAAAGCCCATTCCGCCATCCAAACAGAGAATACATCTACTCACCACTCCCAGTGGTAGACACGAAAGACTTCGTCGTTATGCATCACCAGATTAAGGTTGATAGCAGTGCTTCGGGGACTGGTGACTATTTCTCAAGCACACACTTCCTCTCCTGGTATTATCCAACTCATGTAGTAAACATTCGATTAACCAGTTAGCAGAGAAGTCCGTTCCCGGCAGCCCTTACACATCTGATTCCCATATCACGCTTTTGCGCGCTTACATCGGCTTTTACTAGATCCCTCGTAATATCAAATCGTGTGTTAGCAAACTCAGCACCTGGTCGCTTCTTGCAATTTCATCTATATTTAAAACTGCCTCCAATCTTCAATAACTGCCTTCCCGGTTAACAATTCAAATGGACCGCCCTTTTTGGACTGATGGAACTGTACCCCATTTCAGTTTTACAAGGCATCTATATTCTCCGTTTTCCTTACCGCACAAATCGTTTTTACCGCTCCGGTTATACCATTTTTGTACCAAATCCTTGGGCAGCTACATGTTGTTTTAATTCATGAGTTTGAGACGCGGTTTCGGTCACGCGTTGACTGTTGATCCACATCGGCTTTGCTTGCCTTTTGGAGTCGAAAACCGTTGAGGTTTGTAATTTTGTATTCCGCGTAACTACTTTCGTTTGTATATTACAGCACATTTGCATAGCCATTCGTTCGGAGTTTTGCCGGTTTGGTTGCTAACCTTGGTGCTCGTTGCTCAAGAATTCGAAACGGTCGTAACATCGCTAGCCTACTAGGTACAAATCTATCTATCTCCTACTCCATGTAATCACTTGTCATCACCCTAGTTGCATCAGACGTCAAGTTTTTCTTTCTGTGTATATTAATGCATATTATCCCATTTTATATTCCCCCAAACTCACTATTTTTTGCGAATGTCCTCCCATTCCCTCACCTTCCCAACCTTAACCTTCGGAAGTGACCTCTTTGGATGACCTGGTTAGCTGATCTTCACTCCACCTGGCCTATGGTCTACAACTCCGGGATCACCAAGCGGACCAAGACAACCTACAATCCCATATCGGTTTCGTTCCAGCCTGCTTCCTCGACCAGGCTGAAATGAATACCGCTGCTCAGTGAACTGCACACCCCAGCCGAATCACCTCAAATGTGGCGTCCGTCACGGGACTGTCCAAAAACGGAAGCATATCAGGCCAATAATGGCACCGCACTTCCATACACAGTTTGATAGCACACCCGCAACTGTTCAATTCCTCCTCCAACCAGGCCCCCTTGCCCACTCGTTTCATTAACCCCAACTGCCACCACGACATTCATTTCAACCTGTTGGACTACTAGTTTGAATTCAACCACTTATTTGTCCCCATCCAACCAAACCCCTGCACCCGACTTCCCTACAGCAGTGCAACCCGTGAGTTCGCTTGTTCACAGATTGCACCACATTTTTGAGACTTAACATGCCATGTTCTCCCAGTTCGAATTATCCCATCCCCACCTCCACTTTTGCTCGTTGCGACTCCGGCCATTTACTCAACCGCCCAAGGTCACACATGGACAGAAATGGCTTTCCGGTTTTAGTTCATATCAGCCAACTGAGTCTTTGAATTAGTCGGAACTCATGCCTATTGTTCCCTACAAGTTGCAAAAGAAACATCATTATTATTTAAACGAGTACTTCCCACTGTTTATTACATTGTCCCCTTTTCGGGCAATCCCCACTACCCGCAAATCTTCCTGTCATACCCCATTCTGGCAGTAAACACATGATGATGCCAGACGGTTTGCCACCCACAAGTTGGGAATATATATTACCATTATCTAATGGGATCAATGTAATAACCATGACTAAATAGAGGTATATTGCTTACCAGGTAACCAAAATAATTGAGTCAACTTACGTTAACAGCTGGAATAAAGCAACAATGGTTATTTAAAATAGACCAACAGCAAATTTTGCTGCGGGGGACCTCGAAAACAGGGACGGTCTACTTACATTCTTGTACCAGCTGATTATGAAGACTAAAAAAGGGATAAGAGAGACGCGTATAAGTGGCAATGTTGGGGTAACTGATGTAGCAGTTTCTGCATATTTATGCATTTACTGGCACGAAACACAAGAAAGTTGCAGTTTCCGTAATGTCGCCAAGGAGCTGAAGGGCCACATAGGGGTATGAGCGTCCAGTAGTCCGAGTTTGAGAGCAGTCAGTCAAGTAGACGTGGTCAGGCTTACCAGTAATGATAATCTGGATGAGAAGAGCAGGTAAATTATCAGGTATCAAAGTGAAACAAGATAAATTGTCAAACCGCATTCAAGCAGGAAAGGCAAACAATAAGATGCCTGGGGAATAATTACATAGAAAACTACAACCAGTGGATCAAAGAGGGCGGAAGAGGCCCGCAAATGACGCTTCTTCTGCCCTTATTCTGTTTTATTCTCTAATGAGCACTAGTGGAGATTTTCAACTCACCAGATAAGGATAAGCGTTTTGGTTATTATCGACCAGAATCTGTGTGATTTCTGGCTTAGAGTTTTTAGGCTTTTATGAAGGCTGGTGTGATGAATATGGTTGATGCTGTGTTCACTGCTTCATCCATCATTCTCTTGTTTTATTATTCCAATTGCTGTGCACACAAATCATTTTGAATACATAGACGCTACGCGTTACGCTGTGCAGAATTCTAAATTTCCAGTTCGTTTGATCGTGCATATATACGTACCTGACACAATTACCACATTTTGATGTCACGGCTTTAAACTTCGCCACAAGTTTTTTTTCTAAAATGCGATATCCGCTTCTGTTCGAAAAAAAGAGTTCATTACTAACACTGGTGGTATTGAGTCCATTATTCCATGGTCAGATTCAACTGCATTTTACCCCAGTGTTGCGATAGTCCCTAATGTAAATATACCTGCGGTATCACTGTGCTTTCTCCATCTCTGGCTAGTAGCTATGCGATTCATGTGAGGCCGATTATATTACTCTGATGATTTGTGGACACTGTCGACCAACGCCAAGTGCGGAATTACTACGGCACGCCTGCGTAAAAAAGGCCACGAAGTTGCACTATATCGATTATCAGATTCAAGTATGTTTTTAAAACTTGTTCTAAGAGATGCCTCCCTTTAAACATCACTGGACGAAGCCTCTGATAATCTTAATGTGTTCGGCACGCCTTTTGGGTTACTGCGATACAATCTCCTTCCCTTTGGTATGAATGTCCCAACACGTTGTGAATACAATTACAAAGATTTCGGCGGTGTCTATACGCGCCAAGGTGATGTCATAGTGCATGCTGAACGTTCAGTTATACATTATATACATCTGTGGTCCTTACTGAAGCGATTTTTTGAGTAGATGAACTTTTGCAATTCTATCACCTTTATGTCTTGGCTGCGTTGTGGATGACAGTGGTTTTAAACCCCATACGTACCGCAAATGTCCTCTCGTAAATGTGGCATCACCAGCTAATCTACAAGAAATGAGTTCTGTTCAAAGAGCCTCAATATTATTCTCGTTATGTTCGCAATTTTACTAAGCGCGTAAATTGCTTGTTCATCCAACCTGCCAATCAATTTTCTCGGTCCCCAACCAGAAAAAGAAGCCTTGTGAAATGCTTGGTTCTACTCAAGCTTCAACTGTTTTGAAACCATTTTCTGCCGAACATTCGACCACCATTACCGATGCACCTCACACTGGAACATGGACAATCCTTGGACAATGAGGTAGACCGGTGCTCTGCACATCCCGTCGAATCGTAAGGGCCGAACGTTGATATTCTCAAACTCAACAAGAAGCACCTGTGGTATATTGGGCTGTCAAACAGCTCTATAATTATCATTTTGGATCACAACTTGCCACTGTTACTGATCACGAGGTTTTTAGTTCTTGTATTGTCCTGCAAAATCCCCGGCAAAATCATCTGCCGCCGTCATCTGCCATCTGCAACAGAGTATTATTTCCCTGAGTTCGAATATCTGCACGATTGCTTATCGTAGCGCAAAAAGGCTCCACCATACCGATTTTTGATCCAAAAATTCATTATGCGACTCCGATTTAAACGATTTACTTTATCAGTCGATTCAGCCATTCCCAGATGAGCGGGATGCTCTTGTTGCTGGTACTAGAAAACATTTCGCTCCCACTTTTTCTGCGCTGCGAAGTGGCTAGACACAGCACGAGTGACGTCAATTTCCTCCAGGTTACTTCCATGGAAGAGTCTGTCCGGTTCGTTGGACATTTTGTTGTATTTTATGGATAGAGTTGTCGACCACTGAGTGAGAGAGAGACTGTTCTTACAGATTTACACCCCGGTCATCTTGGTGCTATTAAAATATAATCTCCTGCACGCTTGTCACCCCGGTTTCTGGAACTAAATGTTGACATCAAATACACTGCTAAAAATTGTGTTAACTATACGTACAAGAGTCATAACAAATTTTTCGAGTGGTTTCAGTGGCTAGTTACGTAGGACACACTTCATCAAGCGTAGTAAATGCTATGCTTTCATTGTCATTGACTCAGCTGCACTTTGGCCTAGAGTTTTCTTACTGCTTCTTTTAGTGCTGAATTCACACAACGAGCACTGAGGAAAGTATTCAGCCGTTAAGATATACCGGCCGCCTTGGTCACTGACAACAGCGCACAGTTTACTGCAAAATCCCTCGAGGAACGAATGAAAAGCCTTGGATGCCAACATTGTTTGCTGCTCCATGACATCCCCAGTCAAATGAACTTGCTGAGAAATTTGTAAGAATGCTGAAACCTCCCAGTACTTCATTCCCCCCTATCTTTTTTGTGGAATTAGATCCGTGGAATGAATACTTGTTTACACAGTACAGGAATGCCGTTCATTTGGTTTCTGAAAAGAGACGCGATCCTTTAAATCTTGATCTTAACGTACAAGGTCTTGATAGGCCAAAGCGGCTTATGTTACGTTTTCCAGGGGATATATGCCTCTGAGAAACGTATATGTTGGAGGTCTCTCAAGCATGTGCACCTGAAGCATCTCTTGGTGTGCATACAGACAGCCCTTCTAGCGTAGTAACCGTGCTTACTGTGGTCTCCGAGGGCATCCAACAACCGGTGGCCAGTACAAGCGAAGAAACAGCAACGGAAAAGTCCAGTTAATTTGACTGTATTGGTCTTTTTGCAGAAAAAATAGCGCGGATATATATGAGTAGTGTTTTGATCACAAAAACTCGAGTCGTTCTTTCGTAGTGCGGTGGGGGATAGGAGGTGGATTTTGGGCGTTTTATAAACCAAAACGGCTGGGACATAAGCTTGTTGCCGAGATACCATTTTGAATCTTTGTTCAACAATGAGATTGAAAGATTCTCGGATATAAATTGACATGGGGAAAGACGCGAAGCTCTGGGTCGGTTTGGTTAAAATTTGTTTGCGTTATGCCACCTTGCAGACCAGCTGCATGGAAGGTAGTG